GGAGAATGCAGGTGTTCTTCCTGGGCCAGGCTGGGGCTGAGGGCTCCCCTGGAACCTGGAGGATGTGGTTGGGACCTAGTCCTCTGGACGTGTCCTGCAGGGGGCAGCCATGCCCCTTCTGGTCTTTTTTACGAACTGGGAGCACGACCTTGGCGACAGCTCTGATTCTGACTCCCATTGCTTCTTCTGGAAGTCTCACGTCCACAGAGGGGCCCTGATGGCCGTGGAGCAGTGACCTCGGGGAGTCGGGCGCAGCCTGTGTGGTGTCCGTGTTCCCAGGAAAGGAGTCTGTAGCTTTTGGCAGGTTCCTGAAGAGGCCCTTGGCCTCAGAGGGGTTAAGAGCCTTGCAGTCCAGTCTGGTATATGTAGCACTGCCACTTGACTTTTGTCTTTTGCCTGCGTTTTTCAATTTTAAATGGATTGGTATTATTCATATACCACCTTTGTTCCAAAAGTTACATAAGGCTACTTTGTAAAAATTCACACAATATAATGAGAAGGAGTGTTTTTAAAAAGTGGATTTAGAAATCAGGACAAAGGAAAGACAAGGACAGGACAGATAAGGTGAAGCGAGGCGTAAAGCCAGCACCGGAGCTGCTGAGAGAGGACAGCTTGTCTGTTTGCTCTGCAAGGAGTTCACATTGAGGCTCAACTCGGTGTGTGTTCAACTCTGCAAGTTCGCCTGCTGTCACTGCCACTTTACTCTCTCTCTCTCTCTCTCTCTCTCTCTCTCTCTATTTTTTTTTTATCAAGGTGGTGGTGTTTTTTTTAATATATTTTAATTGATTTCAGAGAGGAAGGAGAGGGAGAGAGAGATAGAAACATCAATGATGAGAGACAATCATTGATTGGCTGCCTCCTGCACGCCCCCTACTGGGGATTGACTCCGCAACCTTGGGCATGTGCCCTTCACCGGAATTGAACCCCGGACCCTCAGTCCACAAACCAGTGTGCTATCCACTGAGCCAAACCAGCTAGGGCTTTTTTTTTTCCAATTGATTTTAGAGAAGGGGATGGAGAGAGAAACATTGAACTGAGAGAGAAACATCAATTGGTTGCCTCCCATACGTACCCCAACTGGGAACCAAATGCACAACCTAAGTATGTTCCCTGACTGGGAATCGAACCTGTGAGCTTCTAGTGCATGGGATGGTGCTCCAACCAACAGAGCCCCACTGGCCAGGGCACTGCCATTTTACTCTTGAGGTTGCCTTCTGGGTGACACCCCCTGCCACCCACCTCACTGCTTTTTTGGCACTTTCCTCCCACCCTCCTGGTACCCTAGGGCCAGAGCCTCGATGCCTTGTCCCCTGCTCCTTCCTGCTCTTCCTCTCACTTGGAAAGTTCTGCCCATCCTCTGGGCTGCACAGGGCCACCTCCCTGACGGTCCTGTCCAGGTGGGACTCAGGCTGTGGGGGAAGATGTGGTGTTCATCCACCACTTCCAGCTGTACAACCTTTGGCAAGCAGCTTAATCTCACTGCCCCTCGGTATCTTCATCTATACCGTGAAGTGGCTGTGCCCACCCTCGGGGTGCCTGTGAGTCTGGTGTCTGAGCACCTGGCTCTGATCCTCAGTGTGAACCCCTGTGTCAGGACACGCTGCCTGTCCCTCAGAGCAGTCATTTCACCTCTGACAGCCTGGGCTCAGTGTCCCCAAGCGACCACCGCTGTGCCCAGCCAATCACAGGTTCTGTGTAAATGCCAGTGCCTCCCACTGCTCCTTCTTACCTGGAAGTTACCTGGGTCCCAGTGTGAGCTGAGTCTCCACACTGCTCTGTCTCTGGGCCAGTCACAGCTGTGGCTCCATGCTCTTACCCGAGACCACGCTGTCCTTTGGAGTGGGCAGCACGGGGGTGATTTCTCCAGGCAGAACGCAAAGCCATCATGGCCACTCACCATGTGGGTGCACTTGGGCCTCTCTGCACCTCATGCTGTGTCCTGTTGTCTGAAATGTCCTCATAGGGCAGTCGTGAGGATCAGATGGGGAAGACGGACCCTCTGCTCAGTTGGCTGTGTTAACAACTGTCCTCCGGAGGCGGGCCTTCCTCCAGCATTTCCTAATTGACAGCACAGTGAGCCCAGGCCCGGAGGACAAGGCGGGGGCCTCTGCGGTGTCCCCACAAGCTCTCTCAAGGTTCACTGGAGAAAGGGAATTGCTGGGGTGTGCTTGAGTGAGCCCAGAGCATCTCACCTTCAGTGACCCCCTCTTCCCGTGCTCCGTCCCATCTGTACTCATTAACAGTGGCAGCAAAAGGTGGGAGTGTCAGGTGAGCCCCACTTTTGTCAGGCCGACCCTCACCTGTCCTCACTTTTTGCAGGGCTCCACAGAGGGCTCTGCCATCAAGGACTTTGTGCTGAAGCACACCTTACCCCTGGTGGGTCACCGCAAGCCCTCAAACGACGCCAAGCGGTACACGCGCCGCCCTCTGGTGGTCGTCTACTACAGCGTGGACTTCAGCTTCGACTACAGAGCGGGTGAGGGACCAGGCCCTGGTGGGTGGGTGGTCAGGAGTGTGTTTACTTTATGGCTTCAGGTCATTGTCCTTCTGTGCTCCAGGCAGGGGCTTATGCAGGCCTCCTGGGCTGGTGGAGCTTTCGACCAAGGTCCCTTGTTCACAGAGGTGGCATTTTCAGAAATGCTTTTCTCTCCAATGGAAGCCTAAGCCTTGTTAGAATCCAAGGGGCAGAATCTTCACCTTCATCTCTGAGGCTCACGGTCCTTCGTCCTGTTTCAGCCACTCAGTTTTGGCGGAGCAAGGTGCTGGAGGTGGCCCAGGACTTCCCGGAGTACACCTTTGCCGTGGCCGACGAGGACGACTTTGCCACGGAGGTGAAGGACCTGGGGCTCAGCGAGAGCGGGGAGGACGTCAATGCCGCCATCCTGGACGAGGGTGGGCGGAAGTTTGCCATGGAGCCCGATGAGTTTGACTCCGACACCCTCCGAGAGTTCGTCACAGCTTTCAAAAAAGGTGGGCTGCGTGTGGCCGGGCTTCCCCTGCGTGAGCCTGGGTGGCTGCAGGCGCACCTGGCGTCCAGGCGAGGGCACTCTTCAATCCCATCGCTTGTGCTGAGCCCAAATCTGGTTTGTTCCCTGGGTGCGTCAGGGAGGATAGAAATGGAGATACACCTTTCTTTGTCTTTTCTTTTTTTTTTTTTGTAATAGGAAAAAGGGCAGGTATGTCTTAGAAATGTCAAGAAGTCTTACTTAAAACAGGCTTTTGGTGTTTGTGGAAAGTTGTGTGTATGTGGGAATTTCTTTGAGGCATTACATGCATGTCTGAATTGGTCAGGTTGAGCACATGGCCCAGTCCCCAGCGCCAGCCTGTCGTGGGCAGACCTCCCAGGCCCCTGTCTGCCGCTCCACTCAGTGCTTTTCCCACATGGCTGTGCAGCCCCAGGCACCGGCTCTCCCTTTGTGACAGCCGCCCTGGACAGGACCCAGGGGCCCCAGAGCCCTGGGTGGGACCACCTGGCCCCTCTCTGGCCTCTGCAGGGACTGGGGAAGTAGGAGATTTGAGGAGACCAGGAAACTGAAGGATGGGCTGTTGGAGGCAAGGCCCTACTCAGTCCAGGCAGAGCCGGGGCCTTGTCATCGCTCACGTCCCCCCCTGCTTTCTTTCCTCGGCAGGAAAACTGAAGCCGGTTATCAAATCCCAACCTGTGCCCAAGAACAACAAGGGACCCGTCAAGGTCGTGGTGGGCAAGACCTTCGACTCCATCGTGATGGACCCCAAGAAGGACGTCCTCATCGAGTTCTACGCGCCCTGGTGCGGGCACTGCAAGCAGCTGGAGCCCGTGTACACCGCCCTGGGCAAGAAGTACAAGGGCCACAAGAGCCTGGTCGTCGCCAAGATGGACGCCACCGCCAACGACATCACCAGCGACCGCTACAAGGTCGAGGGCTTCCCCACCATCTACTTGGCGCCCAGTGGGGACAAACAGAACCCGATTAAGTTTGAGGATGGAAACAGAGACCTGGAGCACTTGAGCAAGTTCATCGAAGAGCACGTCACAAAGCCCAGCAGGACCAGGGAAGACCTCTAAAGCTCTGAGCGCAGGGAGGCAGCAGGGACCAGACACACTGTGGCTTCCAGCGGCCGCAGCCCGAGCGAGCCGCCGCCCCGCTCAGCACAGGGGCAGTGTCTTGAGTTTTTTGCTGTTTTTTTTTTTTTTTTAACTTTTTATACTCGGATATTTCACCTCACGCCCTGAATACTGAATAGATATGAATGATTCAGTAGATTTGCCCAGATTTTTACAGAGGATACATCTATTTTTATCCTTATTTGGGGTTTGATATTTTTTTAACTTTCCACTTTCTTTAATATATTTCTTCAAAGCCGACAAGTTAAATCTCTTCTGTGTGAATGTTTTTTCTTTTTTTAATTTAAAATTTTAAAAACTTTTGCCAAATCATGTTGATTTTTGCCCTTAATTTTGTTGTCGTCTGAGGAATTACTAGTTGGAATGCTTTCGTTTTTTGTTTCTTCTTGTTATGGTGCAAAGTGAGAGCCATCACCAAGCAACCTGCCAAGGATGATGCCGCTTCAGTGTGACCTCTGAGCCGCGCAGTCCAGACAAGCAGCGCCGAGCCCTGTTGCAGTGAAAAGGGGACTGGGTGTTGCTGGGCCTTCTCCCAGGACCACAGGACGAGGCGCTTTTCCCGGGCCCCCAGGCCCCTTGAGCCAGGAACCGAGGTGCCTCCTAGAGAGAGAGGCCACCCACTCTTCAGAATGGCCGTGGCTGGAGGAGCGGTGACCTGGGGCACAGGCGGGTACTTCAGGGGGATAGTAAGGATTGGGTAGGCTGTTATGATGGAATAAAAGAAATATTGAAAATCAACCTGCATGACTATGTCAGGGCCACCAGCTCCACTCAGAACCTTGGTGGAGGTGAAGGTGGAGAGGCCAACCTGGGTGGGCTGGGGAGCGCTTTCCCACCTAACATCCGGCGAGGGGGTGGTCATGGAGGCCCAGGGGCAGGGCTTTGGTGGCCTCAACTCTAGGTTGTGTGGAGGTGAGCAGTGGCACATGCCATCAGGATGGGGGACGAGGATGAGGACAAGGAACCTGCCGAGCACTAGTGTGGCTGGGAAGAGGTGTAGGACCCGCTGGATGTCGGACCAGCCCTTCCAAAGGTGATGGGGGGTCAGCGTGTGATGTGAGCCCCTTTCAGAAGCTGTGCCCCAGGATATTTCATCTCCCCTGCCCTGTCACCTGCTCCTGGTTTTGACTGCAGCAGAGGTGGTGAGGTGGAAGTTGCTTGAGCTGGTGGCAGCTCTCGGCAGTGACTGGCGTGTTCGTTGCAGGGTTGGGATGGGGGGCAGCCAGCAGGTCTCCTGGAAGGGGCAGCCTAGGTGGGCCTTCCAAGTGATCTGCTCTAAAGTTGAGTCTGGCTGAGACGGACGGGACTGTGCGAACTGGTGTCCGGTAAGTTCTCAGAATCTCCAGTGTGACAGGATGTTGCCTGTACCCTCGGCGTCCTCTTTCCTCTTCTATCATGAGAATGAGCACCTCCACCCTGGGGCTTTGTGCCAGAAACTCATAGGACAGTGGTTCTCAACCTTCTGGCCCTTTAAATACAGTTCCTCATGTTGTGACCCAACCATAAAATTATTTTTGTTGCTACTTCATAACTGTAATGTTGCTACTGTTATGAATAGTAATGTAAATATCTGATATGCAGGATGGTTTTAGGCGACCCCTGTGAAAGGGTCGTTCGACCGCAAAAGGGGTCGCGACCCACAGGTTGATAACCGCTCTCATAGGAGGTAATGTTCGTGTGGTGATCATGGCCTTTTCTTCAACTGAGAGGCTTGTTTATCCGGCACCAGCAGGAGAACAGTAGCCCCTCTCCTTGGGGGCTCCAGTCTAGTTGGGGAAATGTCCGCACCATGTGCACGAAGCCATGAGGGGGAGACTGACTCTAGGAGGGAAGCACAGCATGGCCTCGTGGGATTAAGGTGTCGGGAAAGCCCGTCTGCGGTGACGTTTGAGCTGAGGGTCAGGGAAGGGCAAGGCTTGAGCTCAGGAAAGTACAGGAGTGAGGCTCGCTTCTCAGTGGCCCAGGGACCTGTGACGTTGCACTCCCTGGATTTCTGTCTGAAATGCAGAATCACAAG